GGGGGGGGGGGAGAGGCTGAGAGGATGATGGGAGGATGATGGGAGTGTGTGTAATGGATGAAAAGGGAGACTAAGCAGAGGAGGATGTCTTAAAGTCAAAAGTGTAGCCAGTTGGCGGTCATCCACGTGGGTCTGACCACACCCAGACTCCCAAACTCTGAGCTGAGAGCAGATTCGGGGCCTAAAAAGAACAAACCGATCTGTAAATATGCGGAAAAGGAGGCGTTTGGGTGTCGGCATTATGCTTTTAAATGTTCCCCCCATCTTAAATTAACCCAGAGAGGGTTATGCACAGATCCCGAGCAGGTGAAGAGCTCTGCAGACGTCAGGTCCAGAGAAGGAGGACAGGGAGGCTAAAAATAACCCCCCCGGCCAAAAGCTGACGCCATCAGGCCAAAAATGAGCCGTTCACTGAGTTAAATGTCGTTAAAACATTATCGACCAGCAGATCTGGAATGAGGAAAAACAGAAAATTTCTGCTTTTGAGAAGCTTTAGCCTTAAAAAATGTTTTAAAGGGTTATTTGAAAATCACATGAAATATGTGTATATATAGATAAATATAATATATTTACAGCAAGATGGTTAGAAATGGATGCTCTGAAATGAAATGGAGAGCAAACACTGGCTGTGATTTGTTTTTAAAGTTAAGTTTAGATTTTTTAAGAGTAGTTTATGTAACAGAAAGACCCAAAAGAGTCATAATTTGCTATTTCAACCCTGATTGTTGAATATTTCTGTCCACAATTACCTTCTGACCAGGCTTTAATGTAAAATTAGCATAATTTGTGGATGCAGGGAAGAGATACGGACAAAATGCATAAAATGCATGAACATAAACAATGCATAAACATAAAATGAGGCAATGCTGGTTACACTTTCAGATGTGGAAACATCTGGATGGACGGCGTTGAATGAGGGTTGGTGTAAAGAGCACATAAGTCCCTCTGCTTCCCTCTGAGTCTCACCCACTGCCAGGCCCCCGGGGGGGGGCGGGGGAAACAACTCTGTGCTTGTTTGTCCACTAATGGCCGCATTAATGTCGGAGCCCGGCTCATAATTGAGTCAGCAGGAGACAAACGGTCTGCTGAGTGAGCAGACTCTCCCTATCCCAGATATCAAACCAACACACGGATGGATATCCGACTCCGCCCACATCCAAGTCGGCCATTTTGATTAGGTCACCAATAGGAAGATCCCAAGCAAGAGAATCGTAATTGCTTCATGGCAATATAGACATTAATTTAGAAATAGTGAAATGAATCATGCAAACACTGAATTAAACTCTATCCATAATATTATGTTAAAATACTGGATGTTAAATAGGTTTGTACAATAAGTCCAAACAAGTTTAACTAAAAAATATTTATTTCTTACAATTATGAAGGGTGAAGGGTTACAGTCAGGGTTAGGGTTGGGGTCAGGGTTAGGTTTATTTTTACGTTTAGGGGTAGGGTCAGGGTTAGGGTTAGGGTTAAAGTAAGGGTTAGGATTAAGTTTAGGGTCAGGGTTAGGGTTAAAGTTCGGATAAGGATTAGGTTTAGGGTCAGGGTTAGGGTCAAGTTTAGGTTAAAGGTGAGGGTTAAGGTCAGGGTTAGGGTTAAAGTTCGGGTTAGGATTAGGTTTAGGGTCAGGGTTAGGGTTAGGGTTAGGGTTAGGGTCAGGTTTAGGGTTAGGACATCGTTTGTCTTCTGATTTCTTATAGACAGTAAA